GCGGATCAGCAAAATGATGGTGGGGAAGGTAGACCATTCCAGCAACCAAACACCACCGCCAGCACCGCCATCGGCGGTGACATCACCAGTTCTATCAAAAGAACCGGCACCTCCAGGAAAAGAACCATCACCAAGCAATGTAAGCCTACCAGCACCAAATGTCCCACAGACCACAAAAGGTCAAGAGCAAAAACCGTCAATTTTAACAACTAAAAAGGAGTCCAAGACACCGGAAATTCCTTCAGAGGATAATGTGTTACAGCAACAAGGTCAAAACACAACCACAGAGGGATTGATGGAAAATTCATCTCCAGGAAGTCAAGCGAGAAATACAGAACCATCCACTTCTACAAGTGGCAGTGGTGAGGCCCAGATTACGGCGGATGCGGATAATGCTCAACGGCCCAACCCCAGTGAATCACAGGACGATCTTGAAGGTACTGACATCAACAATTCTCCTACAGCAGATGAGGCAGCACCTCAATCAGCAATAACACTCACCACCGCTCAAAAAAATGAAACGGCAACGGTTGGCGACAGCGACAGCAGCACCGCGGTCCCCCACACCACCTCCCCTCTTTTGCTTCTTCTTCTTCTTGTCGCGTGTGCGGCTGCGGTGGTGGCCGCGTGAGAGTGAGTGTGAGAGAGCCGTGCACCGCCCGCACACACACTCGTCCTTCACTCTCTCTCTGTGTGTGTCCCCTTGCATGGACTCTCGCCCTCACCTCACCCCACGAGGCACACACATAATGTGCCCATTGTATATATGCATGCACACCCATGCAGGTCCGTTGGTGCTCTCTTTTGCACGACACGCACCGCTGCCGTCCTGCCTGGCTGCATGGGCGGAGCACCGTAACTGTTTCTGTTTTGTTTTTATTGCATTGAGTGGGCGACCTCTCTCTCTCTCCCTCTGTGTGTGTGTTTTGCTTTACGGGAGCAATGAGAGTGTGTGTGCGCTGGTCGTCCCACGCTTCGGCTTTTTGTTTTGTTTTCCTTTTTGATTTTGTGGTTGAGTGCACCCATTCCGCGGCTGTATGTGTGTGTGTGTGATGATATGAGTAATTTGCGTGTGTGCTATCTGCCTCTCTCTGCCGTTGCTTTCTTCAGACTCTCTTGTGGCGCACAGCTGCTCTGCAAGTATAGGCGCTGCCAAACACACAAGCACATGCACACACACAAATGCCGTGTTTAAAACGCTGAGAATGCATGCACGCACAGGATTGTGGCTGCGGCGGTTGTTCCTTGCGAGAAGGGAGTACGGGAGTATGCGATTTGCTTCGTTGACATGTTGCTGTTGTTATGTTTGCAGCGTGCAGCCAGTGAGTGATGTGGCAGTGGGGGTGCCTGGGATGAGTGCGGATTGATTCCCGCTTTGCAGCTGTAACTGCGGACGTTTCTTTCCCACTGTGGATCTGTTGATGAGGTATTCTCCGGCTGTGCGGGTGACGTGCGAGTGCTCTGGAGGAGACAGCTGTAAAAGGGCTGGCGGCAGCACGTCGGTGCTGCGAAGGGCGGCTGTGTTTTTTTTATTCTGCTGGTTTTTTTTTTTGTAAGGGCGTTGTTCAGTGTGTGCTGACGCGTGACGAATAACGACGTGCCAGGCGTGGCCCCTGCTGCTGGTGGTGGCAGTCCCTGTGTGCTCCCGGTGCACTGTTCTTCCATCTCCTGTTCCGTGTGTCTGTGTGCATGAGTTGTTGTTGTTGGGAATGACTGCGGTGCGGATGATGGTGCCACTCACTGTGGATGGAAGACGGTGTTTACTCTTTTACCGCTTTTATTTTTTGGCTTATTTTCTTTATTTCTTTCTCACACACTCAGGCTAGGAAAGCAAACAAGCGCTAATCGCTACTGTGAAATTGTAAGGCACTGAAAGGACCAACAGCACACACACCGCCCACACACACATATTTATATGCTCTCACGTGTTGCTGCTGTGAAGGCACCCCGCACAGACTACCGTCGCCGCGTGGCCGGATCCAGCGGAAGGAGGAGGGAGGGAAGAGAGAGTGAGTGGCAGAGGCCCAACATGTCCCGGCGTGCGTTTACTTCCGCGGTGCTGCTGCTCCTCGTCGTGATGATGTGCTGCGGCACCGGTGGAGCCGCATCCAGTCAGGACGTGCCGTCAGGCAAGGGATCTTCACCGAAAACACAGTTTGTTTGGGAGGATGGGAAAAAGGGAGAAACAGTGAGTTCGCTTCGTGTTCCCGGTCTTGTTGAGATAGATGGCGAAGTATTTGCCGTTGCCGAGGCGCAGTTGAAGGGTGAAAGCGATTTTAATGGGATTGCCTCGGAGCTTTTGGCGTTGACTGATAAAGCATCAAAAGAATTGGTTAAAGCTCAAATGAGGACACAAGTGCTGGTGGAATGTTCTTCCGACAAGGAGAATTGTGCTTCCCGTGAAGCTGCTTTGGCTGTTTCTCAGAGTGAGAAGAAAGTACGTGTGAGGCAGCCAACAACAGTTGTGAAGGAAATTGATATTTACATGCTTGTTGGAAAACACAGCCGTACCGATGCCACTGGTGATCAGGCAGCCGACTGGAGACTTTTGCTGGCGAAGGGGAATGTCAGTAGTGAAGCCGGCAACAAAAAAATCTATTGGAAGGAAACTGACGGTGTACCGTGCAATCTAGGCGACCAACAAAACTCATTGAAACGTCTGATTGGCGGCGGTGGATCGGGTGTTAAGATGAAGGACGGTACGCTTGTATTCCCAGTGGAAGGCACGAAAAAGGATGGCACTGGAAGTGATGGAAAGACCGTTTCGCTGATCATATACTCCTCGGATACTCCGAGCTGCACACTGTCGAAGGATGTGCCTGACGGTGGCTGCACTGATCCCTCCGTCGTGGAGTGGAAGGACAAACTCATGATGATGACTGCGTGTGATGGTGGCCCTCGCAGGGTGTACGAGTCCGGTGACAAGGGGGATTCGTGGACGGAGGCGCTCGGGACACTCTCGCGCGTGTGGGGCAACAAACACGAGGGAAATGTGAAGGGCGTTGGAAGCGGGTTCATCACAGCGAGGATTGAGGAAAGGGAAGTGATGCTCGTCACTCTGCCGGTGTATGCCAAGACTGAGAGCGAAGAAAAGGAAAAGGAAAAGGAAAAGGGTGAACTCCATCTTTGGCTGACGGACAATACGCACATTGTTGATATTGGGCCGGTATCTGTGGAAGGAGATGATGTTGCCGCCAGCTCCCTGTTGTACAAAAGCAGTAAAAGTGGTAATGAGAAGGAGGAGTTGATTGCACTGTACGAGAAGAAGGACGAAGGGGATACGCCATCACTCGGTATGGTCTCTGTGATTCTGACTGAGCAGCTGCAGCGGGTGAAGGAGGTGTTGAAGACCTGGAAGGAAGTGGACGAACGTGTCTCCAAGCTGTGCATCAATTCACTTGCTCAGAAGGATCCCTCAGCTGACACTGCCTGCAGCGCTGCCATGCCGACGGCTGGGCTGGTTGGCTTTTTATCCGGCAGCTTCTCTGAGAGCACATGGAGGGATGAGTACCTCGGGGTGAACGCCACAGTAACTGGTGCAGCAGCAAAGGCAGAGCCTTCCGATGGTGTGAAGTTCACAGGGCGTGGCGCAGGGGCGGAGTGGCCTGTTGGCGCGCAGGGGGAGAATCAGCTGTACCACTTTGCGAACTACAACTTCACTCTTGTGGCGACGGTGTCCATCGACAAGGTGCCGGAGGAGGGTTCTCAGATTCCCGTGATGGGTGTGCGTGCAGGCAGTGACGATGAGAATACAGAGAATTCCGTACTTTTTGGACTGTCGTACAACAATGAAAAGAAGTGGAAGCTACTGTGCGGTGGCGCAACGACAAAGGAGCTCAGCAGCATTGGGGAACCGGGGACAACACACCACGTGGTAATTTTGCTACGGAACGGCAACCAGGGCACCGCGTACGTCGATGGTCAGCGTGTGGGTGTGGGTGCGCAATGTGAATTGGGAAGCACGGAATCCCAAGAGATTTCACACTTCTACATTGGAGGCGATGGAGTCAATGCAGAGAACACAGCGGGTGACGAAGACGTGTCTGTGACGGTGTCGAACGTCCTGCTTTACAACCGTCCGTTGGCATCCGAAGAGATTGCGGAGCTTGCCAAAAATAAAATTACTATTCCGAAGCCGGAAGAACCGAAGAAATTGACGACACCTCCTCGTTCACCAGCGGTAAGTGGATCAGGTGTGGAGGTAGCCGTGTCTCAGTCAAATTCTGCCGGGCAACGGCAATCGGAACACGAACCGTTGACGGCGAATATTGGTGCTGGCAGTGTATCCGGTGCGGCTTCAATTGCTACGACTGCCTCGTCTGAAGCCGACCAAGCGGTAGTGACAGTGGGTGGAGAAACGGTTCAGGGAAATGGATCACCCCAAACTCCTGAGGTGAGCGTGAGCTCTGGTAAGGATGGGGAGACGGCGGAAGGAACGGATGCGCAGGAGGGAATCCATGCACAGGCCGGGGAAGTGACTGCCACGGCACTCAACAGCAGCCTCGTAAATGTGTCGCAAGGAAATAACAGCGATGCCAGCAGTATGCGTGGGAGCGGACTGCTGCCGCTGCTTCTGCTGTTGGGACTGTGGGGGTTTGCGGCTCTGTGAGGAGTGAATGGCCTCAGTGTGGAACACTTCAGCCTTTCCCCACCACCGACGCACGCACTCCTGCCAATGGATTACTCTCCGTAAAGGAAAGGTATTTTTTGTGCGTTGTTTACTTTTTTAAAAATACTTTAATTATTTTCATTTTTTGCTTTTTTTTTTTTTTTTGCTTTTGGGGAATCACTGTGGACGTTTTTCTTTTCTACTCTTCCCTCTTTAATTGTTTGTTGCTGCACTCTTCCTGCGAGGGGTGCCGTGTGTTTCCCGCCCAACTGCTCCACTCGCACACCCACCGACACGCTCATGACGACGGCCCTGTGCGCCTCGCCTGCTGCACGCATGAGGGGGGGCCGCGACGAACGGCGCGCTGAGGGAGCCGTGACGTGTGGGCGTGCGGCGAGGGCCTGTGGGGCGGAGCACACATTTCTTCCCTCTTGTTTTGTTTTCTTTGCGGTCAGGGCTGGCAGACACCCGCAGCGCCACACACACAGCCACACCCTGCCGCCGTGTTTTTAAGATTTTTTTTGTGTGTTTACTTCATGCGCTGGCAGTCCCGTCAGCAATTCTCTCCCCTCCTGATGATTTCTTTTCTTTTGCTGCGCTCACTCTCCCGATGGAGTGACGCGACTGCCGTCATTTCTGCGTGCTTCTCTCAGTCCCCACACACGAGTGACTGTGCTCTGCGGGCTGCACTCACGCGCCGATGAGAGGGCTGAGGGGAGCAGCAACACGCAGATGACCCATGAAATATAAACGATGTGCGGACACATGGAGGGTCGGACGGTTGAAAGACATTTAAATATCTTTTAATTTTATTTTTGGGTAAAATATCTACAGACAATTTCTGGAGCAGCATGGTAGTTGGGTGCTGTTTGTGTGTGTGTTTTCTTTTTTATCATTTGGGTGTGGCCGTAGTAAAGGACAACTTTTTTCATTTTCTTTGTTTTTTCTTTTTTCTTTTCAAAGTGTGAGGTGTGGAAGGGTGAAGATGATTTTTTATTTATTTATTTTCATTTAATTTTTTAATGGATTGATGCTGCTTGGTCCGCAGTGCAATATCATGAGCTTGAGCAGTCCTCTTCTCTTTATTTCTACCATGCACCTCTGCTGTGCGTTTTTTTTTTGTGCGTCCCTTCACATACTCTGCTTCTTTTTCTTTATTTCTTTGCTTTGTGTGTCTGCAGGCACACACAAACGCACAAAATGCACATTGCAGTGGATTTGGATGCTTCTTTTGTAGTGCATGCTGGCGATTTCGGGTGGCTGCTGCTTCCTTTAGTGGGCATGAAGGGAAGGAGGAGAGAGGGAGCGCACACCGCGAGTCACTCTTCCTGCGGGTGTGATGCACCGCCTGTGACTGCTGTGGAGGGCCGCATCCTTTCGGTGTGCGCTTCTCCGCCGTTGTGTCGTGCGTTGGCGCATGTCATTTGTTATGCGCGTGCGTGCTGGGCATGTGTTTCCGGAGCGTTGGGCGGCCACCATCTGTCTATGGCGGCTTGTGTGAGTGAGCACATGCGGATGAGGGTCAGGGCGCATGGAATGAAGGAATGGCTTGAGGAAAGGGGAATTTGATTTGGAGGGTGTTTGGACCGGATTCATTTGGCTGCGGTGGTCGCATGCACGACGGATGTGTTTCCGCATAATGGGGGAGGATGCGACAGGGTTTTCCGAAGTGGCCCGTCAATGCAATTTGGGTTTTGTAGCACCGAGGCACAGTGGTCTTCCTGCAATGGCTGGTGACGGCCCCTAGTGGACCGGTGTATTTATGCTGCTGCTGCTGCTCGAGGAGGCGTAGAAGTGCGATTTGAGGTGAGCGGCGGAAGGGCCGCACATCCCGCAGTGATGATCGTCGTTGGCCCAGCGGGTGCCTCTGAAGGTTTTGTTGGATGCAACGTCCTTATGCCCGTCTCTGGATGGCGGCATCCCTGATGCAGCCAACGAACGGGGCTGGGAGCGGCTGTGGGACGCAAGCACGTGTGGATGTTTGGAGCGGCCGGCGCACCGCACGCTGAGAGCATGGCGCGGTGGGGGCCGGACCCAGAAAAGGGACACCGCGTGGGACGTCAATCTTCACTGCAGCGACCGCCACCGAATTCGGATGTGCTCGCACCTTCTGCGGTCCCTCTTCCTTCACTTCTGTGCCGAGGACTGTGCCGCGGGATCGAGCAGCGCGATGTTTGGCCGCAGGAACATGGCCCGAACAAATGATTTGTGGGAGGGGGATGTGCACTGCGACGAGAAGGAAGAAAATGTTGCGAGACGACCACCACGACAAGGCCGGAGTGAAGTTGTGTTTTTTCCACTTGCGCGAGGGCGGCCTGCCACCTTGTCGGTTGGGAGGATTATTATTTTTGCGTCGTTGCGCTTACTTTTTATTCCGCCGCGTTTTCCTGCGGAACTGCGAAGGGAGATTTGCAAGAAGTTCCTGCGAGGCGTCCGTGCCGTCGTCGGAAAGGCGGATTCCCCCTGAAAAACGCTACTTTTTAGATTTGTTTTGGGCGGGGAGTTCCTGCCGATTCAACGCGACTTTGTTTTGCGGATTTGATGCGTGTGTTTCCGGGCGGTTCGGTTTGTGCTCCCGGCCCACTCGGATGTGGTTTGCGCGTCGACGTGAGGGTGCCTGCCAGCCGTTTTATTGCCTCCCCCGCTGTGGCTGCCGCCGCTGCCTTCTTCCCTTCCTGAGGTCCTGCGGCTTCTTGACAAGATGTTTTGGGGAAGGCGTTGCCGCTCTTATCGTCGATGATATTTTGATTCTGGTGTCGTGGTCAGAAGACATTGAACGAGAGGGTTTGCTGCCCTCTTGTTTTATTTGTCCTCTCTGCCTGACGGCCAGTTCCACACAAGCGTGCTCCTCGGCACCTCAGTTGGTGCTGGCGGGTTTGCTCACAGTTTTCACTGGCATTTGCATGCGCCAACTCTTCTCTGCTCCCTTTCAGTGTCGCATTTTTTTATTGATTGACGGACGCCATTCTGTCCGGCGTGCCACTTTGATTGGATTGTGTGGGACTGCTCGCCAACGCCATCGGAGAAAGCAGGCCGACTTTTTCATTTATATAATTGCATCTTGCGCGCAGGTATTTTTTCACATGTTCTGTTGGGCACTCAAACAGCGAAGTGTCCGGAACTATGCGTGCGTGGAATTCTTCCTGCCATGTGAACTGCGGGCAACACCGAGGGGCTGCCACTTTGACTCCGCAGAGTCGTTGTGTCTCTTCGCATGGTTGGCAGGGAAATTCCATGCAGCCTGCTACTGCTGGTGTGTCCCCAAATGTTGTCACTCCATGCGAATAATGTGCTTCAGCGAGTGAGGGGATGATTGGGTTTGTGTGCACTCTGATTCTGTTTCCTACTTTGTGCGGGCACGCAACACCTGAGTGGTGGGAAAATGGAGCGGGGCGATGCATGGCTGCGTCTCGCCCATTGTTCACTGCACGATGGTGTGGTGCGCATTGCGGTGTTGACTCTGCGATGTGACCGCGGTCTCCTGTGCGGCAATGGCGGTGGATGGACGAGAGTGTTGGCCCGCGGCGGGAGGGTGGGATCGTGCCTCCTTTTCTCTTTGTTTCTTCCCTTTTGTGAAGGTGTGCACTTATTTTTGGTGTCGGTGATGGGGCAAACAGACAGACAACGTGAATAAAACAAAATGAAAAAGGGCGATATAATGTGGCGGTGTTGTGGTTCGTTGCACGCCTCGTGTTGCTGCGGGGGCGGTGGTCCTCGGCTGTTTCACCGACAGGCGTTGCAGTGCGGCTGCATGGCGCCACGACCACCCTGCCGTGCGAGTGCCACGCCCAACGCCATTGGGACTGCGGGACGAAACAGCCGCGAGTGTCCTTTGGAGCCAGCGGCACCTGCTGGCCGCAGTTGGGCGGTGCGAGTGGGATGCTTCACCGCACGGGTGTTGTGATGGCACCTCGCCGTGGCTCTTGTGATGGTTCCGACGCTGCAGCTCGACATGTGGCGGGGAGTAAAGTGTGGCCGCAGTGGACCATGAGCAGCACCAACATGAGGCTGAGTGATTTCCTTTGGAATTGTGTTGGCGGCAGGACGGCTGTTGATGAAAGAATACAATGTGACGATGGAGGTGTTTGTTCAGGAGCCGGATGATTACGTACAAGACCAGCGGCTCCTTGAAGAAATACTTAACTTAACTGCGCACCAGGCGCTGGAGGCCATTACTAAGCCTCTTCACGAAGGTGTGCTCTCTCTCGAGCAACGTAGGGACTATGAAAGAAAAGCATACGATCACTCCTCTTGCAAGGGGAATACCAAACAGAGTACTCACGCAGGTACTGACAGAAGCGAGGCGGGAGGCAGAGGAAAGGCTAAGGCGAACGCAAGAAATGAAATTTACCATTTCCACTAATATCAAAGAGGTACTGTTTAAAGGAAGAGTTCGCGTCAATGAAATGAGGCTGAACGACTTTCTTACGAGGGAACTGGACGGCAGGGGCATTGTGGACACCAATCGGGATGTCTTGCCGGAGGAGTTTTTCAGGGACCCCACGAAGTATATCCGTGATAAAGGAGCGTTCAACGAAATACAGGCATCATGTCGTTATTTGAGTATGAAGCAAGCTGTAAAGGGTGAAGTGATCTTCGATGAGGATATACGCAGGCTTTGCGATAAGGGTGTCAACAATCTACCGGGGTGGTCATTGGCTGCTGCGGACGTAAAAGCAGCTGTTCATAACTCCACCAAACATTTCTTGGATGCAGCTGCCGAGGAGGCGAGGAAACCAACGACGACGAGCGCACCGGAGAAACTGGAGGGATGCTACGAGTCTGTGCACAATGCGAGGCGGATCCATGCGGTGGAACTTCCGGACGGCGATGAGCGAAATAAAACGGGGACGGGGATGGGGGTGCATGAGGGGAAGCCAGAACAGTCATGGTCGTACAGGGAAGCTGACGACGCTATCGAAGAGAATGACGCTGTGCAGCAATGTGGTGCAGCGCCTCCCGTGTTGGTGGTGCTTGCCTCGGAGAAGGGATGGCCGTACTCGTGGCATACGATACAGGGTCTTCCTAAGGACGTTTTTGTGAACTGTGAGGTGGATCGAGCGTGGCAGATCGTCAAGGGCGACATAACCGCGTGGTTCAGCCCTCACGGTGGGACCGACTTTAAGCCTAGGCGGCGTGTGCTGATTGGGACGCCCGGGATCGGGAAATCGGTGGCTGCCGGCTCGTACCTCCTCTACCAGCTGCTGCACTGCGATGCCGAGAAACTCCAAGTGGTAGTCCATTGTTTTGGTGGACGAGGTGCGTGCGTGTCTGACAAGACCAGCAGGACGGTGACAAGATGCAGCGATGAGGACATGTGCATCTCGGAGTTGAGAGGTTTGAGGAGGCATGGGAGGAATGTGTATATTATCTACGATGTGGCAAAGGAGGGAACGCCGCCACCGAGACATTTTGCGCCTACTTCTGGATGGGGCATGATTGCGGTGCCTTCCCAAAGGTAACGAACTATGATGAGTGGGAGAAGCAATTACAGGCCGCGCGAATCATCGTGAATTGCCCCGACGAGATGGATGTGAAGGCGATGTGCGCCTGGATGACGCGTGATGAGACCAAAGAGAAACAAGCGGAATACTGGAAAGAGGCCAAAAAACACATGGAAAGAGTGAGGCCGATTCCACGTCACGTCTTTGATGAGGAGGCGTTTAATGGACGCTGTGGAGCGGTGAAGTTTGCATTGCAGTCGATCAACGAGGGAACTGTGAAAGAGTGCTTTTCACGGGGAGGTGAGTCGCCATGGTGTTCTGAGGATCCGTCCCACAAGCCTGTGAAAGTTGTTCGGGAAATATACGCAGGCAGTGTCCGTTGATTTAATCACCGCTGTCTGCTTGCCTCGAGGAACGGACATTGGGACGCCTCCCAAGTGTAGCAGAATACAATAGCTTTTTGAGGCGGAGGTTGGCGTCGAAGGATAATATTTTGCCAATATTTTTTGGACGGTTTGCTTTGAAATCGTTCACGGAGAGTGCCTTTGTCAAGGCAATGGCGACGAAGCTCACGGAGTTTGAGCCGCCAACAGGACGTCAAGCAAAGCCCTGCGTCTTGAATTTGGCCCCTGAATTGCATCCCAAGGGAGATGAGGGTTTGCTGCCGAGTGAATATGAAAAAACGATCCGTAAAATAAAGTACGGGGTGCTGCACAAACCGTGGGCCACAAACCTTCCGCTGGTGGACGCCTTTTTTTATTTTTGAAGTCAAATCCAAGGACGCTGGTTGGGCTGCCGATGATTCCGGCGGGTGAGCACCCACCAGCCACACGCGCAATTGCACCCTCATCCATCCATGACGCGGCACCAAAATTTCCTGCCATCCCGCCCTCAATGGGACACGGAGCCCAACTCAACCCAGTCACACGCGGTGCTCCACACCCACAGGAAAAGAGACTCGGGCTGCACACTCCCTCTCCTCATGGCCACGGAAGAAGACAACAGCCACACGCAACTGCCAGCACACGCTACAAAAGAAGCATTCAAATCCACTGCAATGTGCATCTTGTGTGTGGTTGTGTGTGCCTGCAGAAACACAAAGCAAAGAAGTAGAAAAGAGGGAGAAGAGTATGTGGAGAGACGCACAAAAAATGTACAGCGAAGACGCATAACGGAAACAACAAGAAGAAGAACGCTCAAACTCATGACTGCACTGCAGCCCAAGCAGCGGCAATTCACACAAGATTTATTTAAAACAAAAAAAAGCTTTCCCCTTCGTCTTATATAAAACCCCATCACACAAAATAATTACAAATAAAAAGAAATCGTCCATTAATGTTCCACACAAATAACATTTAAAGAACTGCTTGCCGTGTGGCCACACCAAACTGTCTGCGTACATTTTGCCCAAAAAAGAAAATTAAAAATATTTAAATGTCTTTCAACCGTCTGACCCTCCGTGTGTCCGCACATCGTTTATATTTCATGGGGTCATCTGCGTGTTGCTGCTCCCCTCAGCCCTCTCATCGGCGCGTGAGTGCAGCCCGCAGAGCACAGTCACTCGTGTGTGGGGACTGAGAGAAGCACGCAGACATGACGGGAGTCGCGTCACTCCGTCGGGAGATTGAGCGCAGCAAAAGAAAAGAAATCATCAGGAGGGAGAGAAATGCTGACGAGACTGCCAGCGCATGAAGTAAACACACAAAAAAAATCTTAAAAACACGGCGGCAGGGTGTGGCTGTGTGTGTGGCGCTGCGGGTGTCTGCCAGCCCTGGCCGCAATAAAAACAAAACAAGAGGGAAGAAATGTGTGCTCCGCCCCACAGGCCCTCGTCGCACGCCCACACGTCACGGCTCCCTCAGCGCGCCGTTCGTCGCGGCCCCTCCTCATGCGTGCAGCAGGCGAGGCGCACAGGGCCGTCGTCATGAGCGTGTCGGTGGGTGTGCGAGTGGAGCAGTTGGGCGGGAAACACACGGCACCCCTCGCAGGAAGAGTGCGGAAGAAACAATTAAAGAGGGAAGAGCAGAAAAGAAAAAACGTCCATAGTGACTGCCCCCCAAAAGCAAATAAAAAAAGGAGGAATGTGGGGATAAAAGATTTAAAACGCAAAAATTAGTCACAAAGAAAGACTAGCAAAAAATTTAAAGCAAACAGGAAAAAATTAAAAATATTACAATAAAAAACAATAAAAAAAAGCGTGGGACGACCAGCGCACACACACTCTCATTACTCCCGTAAAGCAAAACACACACACAGAGGGAGAGAGAGAGAGGTCGCCCACTCAATGCAATGGAAACAAAACAGAAACAGTTACGGTGCTCCGCCCATGCAGCCAGGCAGGACGGCAGCGGTGCGTGTCGTGCAAAAGAGAGCACCAACGGGCCTGCATGGGTGTGCATGCATATATACAATGGGCACATTATTGTGTGTGCCTCGTGGGGTGAGGTGAGGGCGAGAGTCCATGCAAGGGGACACACACAAAGAGAGAGAAGGAAGAGTGTGTGTGCGGGCGGTGCACGGCTCTCTCACACTCACTCTCACGCGGCCACCACCGCAGCCGCAGCCGCACACGCAAGAAGAAGAAGCAAAAGAGGGGAGGTGGTGTGGGAGACCGCGGTGCTGCCGTCACTGTCGCCAGTCGTCGCCGTTGTAGTTTTCGTGGCTGCGGCCGTCACTGGTGTTTCTTTCGGATTGGCATCTTTATCTTCATTTTGTTTTCCCTCTGCTGTCCCTGCAGCATCAGCTGCTGGATCATCGTCTCCAGTTGTTGATGTGCTGTTGGGATTTGTTGTATTCGATGCTCCCTCCGCAGCAGAAGATAAACTTCGCTGCTCTTTGCCGTCTGCTGAGATCACCTCTGTGGTGCTGGTAACAGCTTGTTTCTTTGTCTCCCCGTTTTCATTCGCACCATCCTCTTCCTCGTCTTCCTTTTGTTCCCGTTCTTCTTCTTTCTTTTTACCTTCTGTTTTTTGGCTCTTGCTGTCCGTCGTTGTACTTGCCGTTTCTGATGCTCCTCCTCCGGGTTTTGGTGCCTGTGACTGGCTCGCTTGCACTTGCTGTGATTCTGACGCCTTTGGTGATTTTTCTTGTGACGCTGAATGTTTACTGGTTCGGACACCTCCTTCAGCGCCACCGACGGTCACATTGTCGTTTTGAGTGCCATTGTCGGACGGAGTACCAGCAGAAGCTGGAGGAGCTGTTTCAGAAGCACCCGCCTCGTCGGCAAAACCACCGCAGCACCGCACCACAGCACGCAGAGGGCACACACCAGCAGCACACGGCCAGTCATCACCATCGCCATCACTCCTGTCAATTGCGTGTAGCCTTCAGCACAAACTAACACTCCGCCAACGCAGAGTGAAAGACACAAACGCTACACCGCACAACCACCGCACAGTCACAAAAAATGGCAGCACCCAGCATCAGCAGCGCACATACAATGAAACAGTTTGAAACAGTACGATTGCAGAACTTGCCCACCGTCCTGTAAAACAGATGTAAAAAAAAAAACATTAATTAGCAAGCAAAAAAAGAAAAGAAAACTACACTCAGGGCTGTGCTGCGCATCCATATGAGTGTGTCCGCGATGCGTTCAACGTGACAGACGTGGGAAGCAACGCGGAGCACACAGCAGCGCACCAGAGGCAAACAAAGCAAAAACGATCATCATAATTACTCTCACTTTATATACATCGGACCACAGTAGACGTACACAAATCCCCGTGGCTTTAAGTGCTGGCACGCACAGCCCGCACACACCTCTTCAGCCCACAGCGGTGTACGCCAGCGCGGATGCGGCGAGCACCAGCGGGGCACACACCCACGCAGAGCTGCTGAGGCTGCCGTCCACTTCGCGAAGCCGCGACGGTGCGTGGGTGGTCGTCGTGGTTAGCGCCTCCGTAGTCGTAGTGGTGGTCGTCGTGGTCATCTGGGCAGAATCTTTGGCTTCCTCAGTTGCTTTCTCTGCAGCCGTACTCGTGTGGCTTTGTGACTCTGATGTACCATCCGTACCCTCTCTCTCTAAAGTACTGGTCGCAACACTTGAATGCGAATCCGGACCGGCCAAACTTTGTCCATCCCTGGCAGTATCATCCTGTTCCGCAGCGGGCACCGAACCTGACGACCCCGTCTTACCTTTCCCCTGTTCTCCCTCTGGGGGGGAACGGAGAGTGGTGGCGGGACCATTTGCTTCATCCTCAGTCTCAGAGTTAACGACCAGTTCCTTTGCTGTAATCACACTTTTCGTCGAAAGGTCTTCAGGCTCAGTATGCTTGTTAGTGTCCGTTGGCTCTGTTTTAATACTCGTCGTCGTCTGGGAAGAAGCTTGAACCGGCGTATCCTTTGCATCACACACGGACGGGCAGCAGCACAGGGCGAGCACCAACAGGGCACACAGCAGACAGCACTTCATCATCATCGTGAGTGTGGTCGTTCAGTGGTGTGGAGCTGATCTGCACAGTGAGGGACATGGAGAGCAACAGGGGAGACGAGAGGTGCGGCAGACACACACAGAGGGCACACCACACGAGGAGAGGGCAGCAGCCAGGCATGCACCGTACGCCGCACACCACGCACGACACACACTCCAATCCGCGGCAGCAGGCACACACACACACAGCCCTGCCGCAGCACCAACACACAGATGGAAGAGGGAGAAGCAAACAGGAGCGGCACACAAGGCTCCACCGCATGCACACACGGCGAGAGCGGTCCGTCGTGCCTGCACCCCTCACGGAGGGTACGCACACACACAAGAAGGTGCAGCACACACAGCAACACAAAAGCAAAGTAACAATTAAAATGAGATCCCCGCACACCACGTGGATTGTTGGTCCACGGGAAGTGCAGCCAATATTCATCACAGAGCAACTTATTCTCTTGTTTTGTTGTATGCTGTTACAATAACGAGTGAGTAGCGCAAGGGCCGTCCGCACAAAAGTGGCAATCATTCTGTCGTAAAAGGAACGTTCTGCGGGCTGGGGCAGTCCCAAACAGTCGCAGTCCATATTCCCAGCGACGAGGGCATTCCCGCAGTGGATGAGGCGGAGTCTCCCGTGGTCCGTCGGGGATCAGCAGCCCGTGGCGTCTGTTATGAGGCGGTGGCGGAAGTGCCTGGTCCATCTCGAGTGCCCGCGTTTGTGCTTCTTGCGGTGTCTTGCCTGCTGGCATGCCTGGCGACTTCGGTGGCAACCTGCGTGCGAGGCGCCTGTTAAGAAGACGGTGGCGCCATTGCGGCATCCGCATGTGAGGCTCTCTCAAACCATTGGAACGCCAGGACGAGCACGTCGAGCATGTGCCGTCATACTGTGGGTGAACGACCGCACTCTGCCGCAGGTTGGGCGGGAGGACGTCAATCCGCCGCTCGCTTGCCGGCAAGGAGTTGCGGTGCTCACGTCGGGAAGAAGCTCCGGGAGAGGCGGGCCATTCTCCTCAGTGTGAGAGAGCGGCGCCACCGACACAGAGGGTCGCTTGTGATCCGCAGGGCGCATGCCGGTCTGCCGAAGAGTGGGCTGGGGTCGCATCGCGCCTGCGCGCGGTGCCGCCACTCGGGGACCGATGTCCGGGTCAACACCAGGAATAGGGTCCTCGCCACACCGAAATGTGCCTGTCACGCGGTGTACGCGCCTTCTGCTTCCTCATGAAAATCCTTCCAGCATAACCTCTCGACAGCGGTAAGGAATTCCACGTGCCAGATTGGGATGCATTCTTGCGGGAGAGATCTTGCCATGACGGCATCAGCGTCCGCTGTCACGCTGCGTGGGATTCCGCAGTGCCAGGGGAAAATGTGGAGCCAACTGTGTGACCTCGATCCTCCAGTGAAAGCGGCACGGTACAAATCTCTTCGGTGAAGTCGTCGTGCACCGCCAGCGGGCCAAGGCATAGCGCCTCCATCGCCGACAAAGCATATGTGGCAACAGGAACTCGTGTGGGCGATTGGGATGCTGCTGCAAGGCGGAGAACTGGGAAGTGTCTGTGGTCATGCTCAGTGGCAGGACACTCCGCTCGGCAGGATCATGCAAGGCTGCCAGCAGCTGCGCGGTGAGGCCCCACAGGGAGCTCCGCTGTCCGGGGAATGGGGTGGCAGCGCGGCGGATCCAGACACACATGCCCCCAGCGAGGCGTACGCCGCCTCAACGGCCGATAGTCTGACACCGTCCAGGGCGTCCCTGGCGTGCCGTGGCTGGAATACGTCCAACCCGCTGCAGCTCCCATTACCCCAGACAACAATGCGGTGCTCAGCATTTGGGGCGCGGATGTGGTGCGGGGAGATCTCCATGTGGCGGCGGACGCGTCGCAGTCCGTTGAGGACGGCATCTCCCGGCAGAGAAATGGTCGTCGCTGCCTTCCAATGTATTGACGACGGCATGGTATCCAAGCAGATTGCGCCACGCACGTCCTCCATATACCGGAGACGCGTGAGGTGTTCGTGCTGCGTGGGTGCGCGGAACCCAATGATCCTCCGCAGCGGTGCTGGACTGGCTGCTGGGTGGAAAGAAGCACCCTTTGATGATGCGCGTGGGCCGAGCGATGCCGTGCAGCTGTCGCGGTGCCGCACTTCCAAGCCGTGGAGGTGAATGGGAGCTGGACACGGTGCGATTACCTCGCCGCCGTGGTGAAACGCAGTGTGGACGCATCCAACAAGGCAGGATTGCATGGTGTGCTGGGACGCACCAGCCTCTGCGCCCAGCCGCGGCTGATGGCAGAGTAGTGCGGTCTACTTTGGTGTCTGTGTGAAGAATTTTCCCGTTCTTTACATTGTGTTACGCGCCGATGGTGCGTTGGCGTTTTTTGATTTGGTAGGAGACTTGCGTTTCCGAAGAAGCCGTTGCAAGTGTTCAGCGTCGTTGTGAATAACAGATGTGAACCTGTCCCCGTGAAGGTGACAACAACGACCCCGGATGGCTTCATCTGATGTCTCACAGTGAGTTTATTGAACAGGATGTTTGATGTTAATTTTGAGGGCTTTTGTGGGGAAGGTGGGAGGTTGAGGGCATGAGGACTGAATTCATTTGTGTGGCTGCGCTCCGTTGAGTTGCGGCCAGTCGCGGCACTCTTTTGGGGTTTGGCGGCTCGTCTTGTTTGCTTAATTCCCACCGCAGCACGTGGATAACACCGATCCGAGGAACATTTGTTTGACGGCGTGTGAGCTGCTGACGTGCGTGGTGCATGGGCTATGTGATTGTGTGGGGAGGTGCATTGGGGTGACGAATAGTTTTCTTTGGCGTGTCGCGGTGTGTCGGAATGGTGTTCGGATGACATGTGGAGGGTGTTGTTTGTGGTTTGTGTGTCTTTTCTGGTGGAGCCGACATGTGTGCGGGGATTGCGGCATTGCTGGCTGACAGCTCCACGTCACTTTTCAGCATTCCTGGATGTGCTGAGGAATGACGGCTGGCGACCAGCGTGTTGGTGCTGCTGGTGGGAATAAGTGCATCGGGAATAGGTCATTTTCTCTTTTCCGTGCTGGAGCCGATGGACTGGCACGAGGGCACCGGCTGCAGGCTGCCTGCCAGCACGTGTGAGCAGCGGATCCATGCACACACCGACGCTCATCACAAGAGCGTGTGCAATCACAGTGGCATTTGTGGCGTGCTTTTATGGACGTCAGCCCACCGAAGAATGTGTGAAGCAAACGGCTGACTGCACACGAGGAAATGAGTGCGTGCACTGTGCCGTGTTTCAGCGTTGATGGCAGAGCGGCAGGAGGCCCGTGCTGGCAACTGAGATGTTTGCGTCGCGAGGGATGTCGGTGTTGATTTTGGATCGTCGAGGGTGAAGTGATTTTGCTGCTGCCCGTGTGTGTGGCCACTCCGGCGGAGGGCGGACACAAAAGGGAGGAATGCAGGCGCTGCGTGTGTGTGTGCAGGTGCCATGCAACAACGTCACAAGAAACATGCTGCGACTCGGTGACCCTCACATCGTTGTGGTCCTCACGCACAGCGGAGGCACGGCGCACACCGATGCACTTAGTGGACGGAGTGAGGCATCTTTCGAGGCGCAGCAGGGAGCAGGATGTGTTGACGCAGCCACGACGTGCATGGAGTGTCACGATGGCACAGTCAGCTGCTTCTGGTGGAATAATTGCTTCTCGGAGGCAACAGAGAGAGGGAGAGAGCTGCTCCTGCTGCTGGCGTCGTTGCTGCCTCTTGTGGCCTCCCATGCCGATTATTGTCTGTCCGCTGATCATGGGTGGTGTGCCTCCACTAGTGACGTCGTCTGCAGGCATTTCACAGCACCAGTGAAACACACATCACGTCGCATGCTTTGGCTGTGGATGTGGTGTCGTGCATGCAGCCGGCATTATTTTGCCCGACTCCTTTTCACTGCTTTGCGACAAATGGATGCGTCGCCACCCGAGTCATTCACTGCAGCTCCGTGTGTTGTACTGCCAGCACAAGACTCTCCTGTTGTCTGGCGCCTGGCTGACAGTCCAACACCACTGCGTTGGGACATGCAAGGATGTGGACTGCCGCTCACGGTGTTGCGCACCGCTGTTTGGATGCGGCAGCCACACGAGCGGATGTATTGTGGCACAATCAAATGCGTGAAGTACGCGGAATCACAGCGGCTGCAGTAATATCAGCGGTGTGGCACCACGGAGTATGTGAGGGGGTGATGCATGATGAATCACAGTGGGCGGCATGCGAGGGAAGCGCACCGCGACGGAGCGTCGTCCCGCCCTCAGCCTGCAGGAGAATGTACGCCCACAAAATATATGGACGAGACACCACCAAACACACATGCCCTTCCATGCACCAATAAATAGGAGCGAAGGTGCGTTCTGGTGTGTGGGAGTCCACTCACACATTTTATTCCCACCGCAATAAACGGTGAGGAATCGGGTGCCACAGCAACGAAAGGAAAAACAAACATCTATTGCGGCACTTTACCAGCGAAAGGCAGGAGCAACACAAACCGAATTCTTGGCTGCATCAACACAAGAAACATTCACAGGAGGGAAAAAAAAAAAAATTGTGCACCCTGCAGGAATCCCCAACACACGACCCAGGCATGAAGGTTTGCCCTCCTCAAAAAAACAAAACAACACATGCAGACATCTGCCAACATTCAGACAGGAACACAACTAAATGATTGCTTGCTTCATTCCATTCCTTACGGTTACATTTTAGCATGCGGCCGCTGCGGTAGTGGCCGGGCCTGCATGAAGTGGTGTGCGCTGAATATCAACGAAGGCAAAGGGCAACTGAACCGTTTTGTGATGAATATCGGCTGCACTTCCCGTGGACCAACAATCCACGTGGTGTGCGGGGATCTCCCCCTTTTTTATTGTTACTTTGCTTTTGTGTTGCTGTGTGCGCTGCACCTCCTCTCTTGTGTGTGTGCGTACCCTCCGTGAGGGGTGCAGACACGACGGACCGCTCTCGCCGTGTGTGCATGCGGTGGAGCCTTGTGTGCCGCTCCTGTTTGCTTCTCCCTCCTCCATCTGCGTGTTGTTGTTGCGGCAGGGCTGTGTGTGTGTGTGTGTGCTGCCGTGGATTGGAGTGTGTGTCGTGCGTGGTGTGCGGCGTACGGTGCATGCCTGGCTGCTACCCTCTCCTCATGTGGTGTGCCCTCTGTGTGTGTCTGCCGCACCTCTCGTCTCCCCTGTTGCTCTCCATTTCCCTCACTGTGCAGATCAGCTCCACACCACTGAACGACCACACTCACGATGATGACGTGCCGTCTGCTGTACGCCCTGTTGGTGCTCGCCCTGTGCTACTGCCCTTCCGTATGCGTTGCGCAGGATCCTGAAAAAGTTCAAGCTCCTGATGTTACTTTAACCCCCAGCGTTACACTGTCCCTTCCATCAGAGGAACCGCTTGAGGAGGCCGGTGAGTCAGAGTCGCTAAATACGGGGGCCGATACGGAAAGGGGAAAAGCTGTCTTAGTGGGAGAACAAAGTTTGGCACATCCGGAACAGCAATCAAAAGGCGCACTCAGTAAGTTGCAGACAGAAGTTGCGAACAGTACTACAGAGACACAAAGTCTCACGCACCCATCCGCAGAGAAAGCAGGTCAGAAAGCCGAAGATCCCGCAAAGACGACCAAGACGACAAACAAATCTCCAGCCCAGACGACCACAACCACAAACGCACCAACCACGACAACCACCACTGCGCCAGCCACCACAACACAGGCACCAACCACGACGACTACAGAGGCGCCAGCTGTGTCGACCACCCGCGCACCGTCACGTCTTCGCGAAATTGACGGCAGCCTCAGCAGCTCTGCGTGGGTGTGTGCCCCGCTGCTGCTCGCCGCATCCGCGCTGGCGTACACCGCTGTGGGCTGAAGAGGTGTGTGCGGGCTGTGCGTGCCAGCACTCAACCGCGGGGATTTGTGCGCGTGTGTTGTGGTTCACTGTATAAAATAAGAGGAAATAATGATTGTGTTTTGCTTCATTTGCTTCTGCTGCCGTGTTGCGTGCTCCGCGTTGTGCCCCGCATCCGTCACGTTGAACGCATCGCGGACACACTCTTATGCATGCGCAGCACAGCCCCGGGTGTAGTTTTCTTTTCTTTTTTTAATTACTGTTTTTTATTGCTTGCTTTTAAACTTCTCTTTTGCAGGGCTGTTTGAAGGTTCTGCAGTTGTACTGATTTCATTTATCTCGTGGTGTGCGCTGCTGATTCTGGGGTGTTGCCATTTTTTGCTGTGCGTGGTGTAGCGGCCGTGTCTTCTTTTGCTTTTGCTCTTAGTTGACGGGGAGTTAGTTTGTGCTGAAGGCTGCACGCAAGTGACGGGAGTGATGGCGTTGATGATGACTGGCCGTGTGCTGCTGGTGTGTGCCCTCTGCGTGCTGTGGTGCGGTGCCGGCGGTGGCTACGCTGAGGATGTCGATGTTGTTTTTGGTCATCCCGGAACTCGTGGCGAACGTGGAGGTGGAGCTGTCGGTCAATCTCCTCCCGCAGGTGGGAGTAATGGTGGCAGTGGAGGTTCAAAGGCTGATAGTCCTCATGGAAGTGAAAGTGAACCCTTGGATTCTACTTCTGATGAAGAATCATCATCTCTCGATATCGATCAGGAATTGGATCCAAATCCGCCTGAGGAACATGTACTCCAAAAGGAAGTGGACCCCATAGGAAAACAGGATCACTCAGAATCAGGGCCTCAAGATGCATTGCCGCCTGATGCGAATGGAACGGTAACACTTGATTCTGATGCACAATTACAGTTGTCCGATACCAAAAAAAAACAAACTGAAGTTCTTACTAATGTTGGTGGCGGTGAAATTGCGGATGGGGAAAAAGACAGTACCGGCCGCAGTAACGGGTTGTCCCCTAATAAAAGCGACCCCCCAGCACTGTTAGAACCAAGAATCAAAGAGGTATCACAACCAACAGAACCTTCACCACCACCAGCAAATCTATCACCGGCGCCACAAGAACTTCCTACGGCAGTATCACCAGCGGAGCGGCCACCAGCAATAGCCGTTTCCGCAGGAGAAACAAACCCAACAGCATCAACAGGCTCACGGAATGCAACAGAAACGACAACCACGACGTCACCGTCACACAGTAAAACGGCGCCTGAAGCAGCGGAAACACCTTCAGGAAATGGTGAGCCAAACCAAAAAATACAAGACACGGACACACCAGATTCGATGAAGGATGGACCTACAAGTCTTCCAGCGGAAACAGTAGTATCATCTGTATCTAAAAGCGGCATTGGTGGAGCTCACAACAAGGAGGACAAGGTTGACGACGGCGCTCAACGGCCTAACACCAAAGAACCACAAGACGGGCCCGAAGATGGTAATACCAACGATGCTCCCACATCCACTGAGGCGGCACCACAAAAAGCACTAACAGCCACCATCACTCAAACAAATGTTACGGCTACAAAAGGCGACAGCGACGGCGGCACTGCGGTCTCCCACACCACCTCCCCTCTTTTGCTTCTTCTTGTTGTTGCGTGTGCGGCTGCTGTGGTGGCCGCGTGAGAGTGAGTGTGAGAGAGCCATGCACCGCCCGCACACACACTCTTCCTTCTCTCTCTCTGTGTGTGTGTCCCCTTGCATGGACTCTCGCCCTCACCTCACCCCACGAGGCACACACAATAATGTGCCCATTGTATATATGCATGCACACCCATGCAGGCCCGTTGGTGCTCTCTTTTGCACGACACGCACCGCTGCCGTCCTGCCTGGCTGCATGGGCGGAGCACCGTAACTGTTTCTGTTTTGTTTTTATTGCATTGAGTGGGCGACCTCTCTCTCTCTCCCTCTGTGTGTGTGTTTTGCTTTACGGGAGCAATGAGAGTGTGTGTGCGCTGGTCGTCCCACGCTTCGTTTCCTTGTTCTTGTTTTATTGTTTTTATTGTGTTGTGGTTGAGTGCACACGTTGCACTTTCTGATCGGCTGCATGCTTTGGATGCGGACACTGGAGTTTTCTTTTTTATATATGTTTTCGTTTTTGTTGAGGAAGCGCCAGTTTCTTGTATTCTTGTAAAGTCATTAAGATTGTCTTTGGCTTATGAAATGAGTCCTTTGATTCACGTCACCATGCGGTCTGCATCGCCTCTGGTGCTGCTATTGATGATCTGTGCGATGTGATTTGTCGGCGGGTGTCCTGCTTTCATCCTGAAGTATTCCCTATTTCGAGAAGATGTGGAGCGCTCCCACAGCGAGGTTTATCTCGTTTACGGTGAGGAAAATGCATCTCAGGGCGCAGGATGCATTGCGGGTGTGCAGCGGCGTCTGGAAGGACCGAAAGGTGCCCATCCGCATTAAGACTTCAACAAGGAACCCGTGTGGCATCAGGAAGGAGTGCGGCTTCTTTTGGCGTTGCGCAGTAAATTCTTTGGACGACGCGTTTGGCTGTAAGAATGGTGCTTTGACCTTTGCGCACGAGAACATCCTTGCCGAGGAGACTGTCCCTGCTGCTGTAAACCCGCATGCGGATCGTCTGCTCTTCCAGCCACTGGAGGGTCCGCTGACTGTGTCCTCATTTGCCACGGGCAGCGTTTGCAGTTTTTTTACGGTAACTTCTGGGCATCGTTCCGCTGGTGTTTTCAATGCTTTCATGGTGCTGCACGTGGCTGCGGCGTTTGGCGGTGTGTGGGTACTGCCGTGCGCCACGCTGGAGGATGGCCGTCCAGTCGCCGGCGCCATGCACTTTTTCTGTCAGTTTTATTTCACGGATGCATCGCCACCCGCCTCGCCGCGCACCTGTTGGCCCATGCTCTCGGGTTCACCTGCCCGCACATGGCAGGCCGCAGCATGGTAAGGAATGTTGCCGGTGTGCGTGGCAGAGCGCTGTTGGCGGTGGTGCACTCGACGAGTGCCGCGATGCCTGCAGGGGAGCACCACGACTGCGACGGCATTGATGGCATGGAGCTGCAGGATGACGATGGGAGCGGGAGGACGCTGGAGTCGCACTGGTCACAGCGCCACGCGAGGGATGAGCGGATGGCACCGATTGTGGGCGCCGGCTGCTGCAGAGGAAGCGCTTCGCACCGAACATGAGTGAATATTGCTACATGCTTTGCGCATTGGGCGTTTCTGCCAGATGCTGCGCGTCGGACCGGTATTCCAGCGGTTGGTGTAGACGGAGTATCCTTGAAATGTCAGCAAAACGCCCGATGGACAGTTGCCCCATCAGTGATCCCGCACTGGATGTGAGGGATGCTGCCGCTGTTATTTGGAGGGGAGAATATTTTTCTGCGATGCCTGGGGATGAGTCATCTTCGTGGTGTCTGGACACGCTTCCCACCAACACGACGGATGCGAGGGACCCGGAGGAGACACATCTGAGTGCTGTAGCGCATGCGGCATTGAGGTGCCTCAGTATGCAGGTGCATTTGGAAGTGACTGAAAAGGGCAACGTCCGTTGTTCCATGCACGGACGGAGCGACGATTGCGTGGGCCGCTCGACCCTGCGCTGGGGGAAACGCTATTTGCCGTGACCACGCGCAGGTGTGCACGATATCCGCCACCAGCGGTAGCCTACTTCCGGTGGTTCCGTGGGACGGCGAGGAGAGAGCATGTGGAGCAGGACGGTTTCACCGGCATCTACTGAACAAGGATTGCCAGGGGCATCCGTCACCGTTGCGGGGAGCATTGATCCCGACCACGGCACACCACCGAAGGATGTAGACACGGCTGTTCCCGAAAGGAATTTATTGACCGAGGAGAAGTGGATCCGGCCAGGATACCCCGACAGACCGCGAGAAGCTTCTCTCGGCGGCAGGGATCGAAGCAGCGAGACGGACGGCGAGCAGGCCCGTCCCCGACTCCCCGTGATGACACACTGCTGCTGCTTGTCCCTGTCCGCTGCTTCTTCTGCTTGTCTCTGCCGCCGCCGTGGCAACACTCTATCGATTTGTGGTGTGGTCGGCGTTGCGCTGCAAGGGGACTGCGCTTCCTTCTGCTTGGCCTGCAATCAGCACTGGAAGCCCAATAGAAAACGATCCATTTCAATGGGTCTCTTTCTCCATATGCATGTGCTGTGTGTACTCCGTCTGACTTTGTGTTTGAAATTGGTGATACTCCCGATGAGCACTGCTCTTCTTGTGTTGGTTGCCGATGTGGGGCCACCGTATGGTCGTATGGCTTTGCTTGTGTGCTTGTTGGATTTTCTGAGACGCACATACACAAAAAACGGTGCGAGTCAAATGTGCGCACACAAGGCACACACACGCATATCCAAGCACATTGTCTGTGTGACTTCTACTTGACATGGTATGCGGGGCGGGTTGGTGCGGTAAAGGCCGACGGAAGCTGGCAGCCGCGTGAGCCCAGCAATGGCGTTTGTGGTTGTGTGCGGGATCATATGTTCCATCAGATGCTTGACGCCGTTCATGGATTGTCCAAAGTTTTTTACTGCGATGCCCATGCTGCGGCTGTGCTAAACTGCTCAATGCGTCTCCATGATCTCATGGAGCACGGCGTGACGCTGCTCGGGGACCTCATGACGCCGCGGCAGCCGATTATCAGCAGCCCTGCGCCCTACTTTTTGCCGTGGAGGATTCGTCTGTGAGCCGCGTGGCTGAGGATTGGATGGCAAAGGTCCCGCACAGGGATGCACACATCTTTGCGTTGGGGTGCACCCCGCATCGCCGCCTTCAACTGGTGCGGGCTCGGATAGCGCCGAGGGCGATGCGTTCCAAGGACAGTATGTTAGACTTCGCCGCCACTGAAGTGCTGGTGTTCCACCCCAGCATGCAGAATGAGTTCTTTCAGCTGCTGTCGCCACTGTCGCCGCCGACTCGAGAGTCCGTTTTGAACGTTGCTGAGTCACTTATTGTGGCGGCTTTTCACGCCATGAACAACGGTGTGCCTGTTATTCGCCACCAAAACAGAGGCAGCATCTGCCATGGGTTTGCCAGGACCTTTTTTGAGGGCTTTTCAGGCTCTGCTACGACGAGCCGGATTTCGCTTAGGGGCGCCGACAGCTGCGGCAACCCGGTGCGGATCATCGTTGATTGGGGCTGTGTCACGGTGACGCCGCTGATGCACCAACGCACATGTCAGTGTCTGCTTGATGACCTGATGCCGCTGGAGAATAAATTGTATGAGCAGACCCGTAGGAATCGTCTGGGTTTGGGCTCGAAGCGGCAGTAATTGATGAGGAAGATGTATACTAGTGCTCCTACCGTCATTGTTTTCTTACGCAGTGCGTGTAGGAGCTTTCGGCGGCGCTGAAAAAACTCCACGCGTATCACCCGGGATTGGCGCAGGGCGGGGAGCCGAAGGCCAATCCTGCGAAGCTGGGCAGTGCGGTGCGGGCTCCGCCGGAGTTTCGGGAGAGGCAAGCCAGACCGTCGCTGCACATCGATTTTTTGCGCGAGGCTTGTGGCACAGTACTGGGAGAAGCGAATGGCGGAGGTGTGGGGGGTGGAACAAGACATCGCCGTTGGGCACAAACTCCTCAGGAAATACGTGGATGGTGTGCGGCACCTGACGAGGGATGCCGCAACGTCCCGGCCTGTGCGTCTGTGTCTTTTCCTGTCGCTTGTGACTGCGAGCAGCACCGACGAGTTGACGGAGGCCAATAAGCAGCAGCTGATCCGAGACGGTGGACTGACGCCCGAAGCCCATTTGTCTGCGAATCTTGAGTATCTGGCGAGGAGGTCCGGGAGCGTGCAACCAGAGAGCACGGCGTCGGCGCAGAGCTAACGGAGCACGAGTGCCTCTGCGAGCAACGCTGCGACGGACGAGGATCCGTTTCTGAAGCAGAGCTGCATGATTATGGAGACGGGCAGGAATAGGATGCTGCGGGTTGGGCTGTCGTTGGCATCGGTGGAGCGCGATCATGCGATGAGGCCAAATGGCGCGAGTTGTGGTCAAAACAGTGGAGCATGAGGGAAAAACGCCGGGCCGCTTCAAGGGTGTGGTGGCAAGTGGGAGAATCATCCCGATCTGTGTGGCGGTGGTGGTGGGACGATTGCCCTCACAACTCCTCAGCGCATAGTGCTGCTTGTTTTGGGTGGTGTGGCCTGCAGCGAGAGGCGCTCGGTCCATGAGATATCCAAAAGGTATGGCCGTGAGGTGCTCATTGGGGAGCCTCGCTGCGTCCTGAGGTGCGTTTGTGCAGGGAATTAGCACCCTACGGCACTGTGACTCACGGGCGAGACACGCACAGGAATGCATCGAGGGCCAAAGAGTGGAACAGATGCAATCACACACGATTGCGGGTGTCTGTGGAAATTGTGTGCGCTTCTTCCTGCATTCCGTTCCTCTCCATGAAGCGTTTCATACAATGCACGTGTGTGTGATTCAACGGCTGCGCTGCTTGCCTTTTACCTTTGTTTTCTTGCGTGTGCGTTTGCGGGCCATTTCCATGCAACTAAGAAGGCGGCTAAAAAAGGAAAGACATTTGTGGAGCATGCACCCACGGCTTCAGTGTTCATCCACTAGTGCTGACCTTTTTTGCCAGGGCATTTGTGCACGCTTTTCCCTCCATTGTCTATTTTTTTCGCGCAGGAATCAACAGGTGGGCATTCGTGAGTGCTGCGGCGGGCTGTTGTTGCCCTCGCCGGAACGCGCTTAACGGCGTCAGTTCCATCACTTTTTGCACAAAAGGAATGGGACTTTCTCCGGATCCTCACCGCAGGCGCATGCCGTGGACGGCCGCAAAGGAGTGTGTGCCCGGTGTTGTTCGTAGCTCCAAGGAAAAGATGGTGTTGGATGGTGCACGACGAGTGGATGTGGATTGCGTTGACCGTGCATCGCAGGTGTATCCGCTGGAGGCATTGCGGGCGGCCGTCGCCACATGCGAGTACAACATATTTAGAGGAAAAAACATTTTTAATTGGTCTCTCAGGTGGAATCCAATGTGCTCAGGCAATGCTTTACGGCAAGGAGTGGCCGGAGGGGACGCACGACGAGGACGCCACTCGCACCGCCATTTATTTCCGTCGCCGCGAGACCACAACGCTGTCCGCGCCAGTACGCCTTGCGGATTTTCCGAGGCGGCATGCGCTGTTCTGTTTGTCGCCACTGTTCCCCCATCCCCGAGCGTCGGTGCAGACGTCCCTGTCGATGCAAGTTCCTATCGATTGCGGACACACCCATTGATTGATGCGGCCGGCACCGCCCCCAGCAGCTGGTGCACTGGGACTGGGGACGAGAACACAGCAGACCAAGTTCGGTCAGATGGTGCTGGCAGCCCTGTCAGCGTCTCGCCTACCACAGCGGCGAGCACAGAAATCGACGGGAAAGGAGAGGAATCAAATGACTGCCAGGGAAACAATTGTCTTTTAACATCGCTCCCAGTCAAACAGCCGGAAGAATTAACGACAACATCAGTCACTAACAATGACGAAGCAACAACGACCACCGCCGACAGCGACAGCACCACCGCGGCCTTCCAAGCCACCTCCCATCCTTTGCGTCTTATTGTCACGTATGCGTGCTGCTGCTGCTGCTGCGGTGGCGGTGCCTGCATGAAGTGGAGTGCGCTGAATATGGACGAGGGCCGAAGGCAACCGATCTGTTTTTGTGATGAATATTGGCTGCACTTCCCGTGGACCAACAATCCACGTGGTGCGTGGGGATCATTCCTTTTTTATTATTGTTACTTTGCTTTTGTGTTGCTGTGTGCGCTGCACCTCCTCTCTTGTGTGTGCGCACCCTCCGTGAGGGGTGCAGGCACGACGGACCGCTCTCGCCGTGTGTGCATGCGGTGGAGCCTTGTGTGCCGCTCCTGTTTGCTTCTCCCTCCTCCATCTGTGTGTTGGTGTTGCGGCAGGGCTGTGTGTGTGTGTGTGTGCTGCCGTGGATTGGAGTGTGTGTCGTGCGTGGTGTGCGGCGTACGGTGCATGCCTGGCTGCTGCCCTCTCCTCATGTGGTGTGCCCTCTGTGTGTGTCTGCCGCACCTCTCGTCTCCCCTGTTGCTCTCCATGTCCCTCACTGTGCAGATCAGCTCCACACCACTGAACGACCACACTCACGATGACGACGTGCCGTCTGCTGTGCGCCCTGTTGGTGCTTGCCCTGTGCTGCTGCCCGTCCGTCTGTGCCGCGGCACCTGAATTGCCTGAAGCTTCTTCCAATATAACCACGACGAATAAAACTCAGCCTCCAAATGAGGATGCGGGTTTGTCAAGGCCGTTAAATACGATGCCTGTTGTGGAAGAGGAAGCAATTGACGTCAAGGAACCAGTTCCGACCGGTCCGGAACAAAAATCAGCTGATGTGACCGTTATCTTACAGGAAGAAGGTACGAACGATACGACAGAGTCAAAAAGTGGCCAAAGTATATCCGAGGAACAAGCAGACAAGAACGCCGAAGCCCTTTCCAAGAGAACCACGACAACTACAACACGCGCACCAACGACAGCCACGACCACCACGACCGCTGCGCCAGCCACCACCACCGCCACACCGGAGGCTCCTACTACGACTACCACCCGGCCCACGCACCGTCACGTCCTCGCGAAATCGACGGCAGCCTCAGCAGCTCTGCGTGGGTGTGTGCCCCGCTGCTGCTCGCCGTATGCGCGCTGGCGTACGCCACTCTGGGCTGAAGAGGTGTGTGCGGGCTGTGCGTGCCAGCACTCAGCCACGGGGACATGTGTACGTCTACTGTGGTCCGATGTATAAAGTAGGAGTAATTATGATTCTTTTGTTTCATTTGCCTCTGCCGTGCTGTGTGCTCCGCGTTGCTTCCCACATCCGTCACGTTGAACGCATCGCGGACATACTCATATGCATGCGCACTGGAGCCCTGGGTTTTTTCTTTCTTTATTGTTTCATATTGCTTTTTAAACTTCTGGTTTGCAGGACGGTGTGCGAGTTCTGCAATCGCACTGATTCCATCTGTTTCGTGGTTTGTACGGCTGCGGCTGCGGTGGTGGCCGCGTGAGAGTGAGTGTGAGAGAGCCGTGCACCGCCCGCACACACACTCTTCCTTCTCTCTGTGTGTTTCCCCTTGCATGGACTCTCGCCCTCACCTCACCCCACGAGGCACACACAATAATGTGCCCATTGTATATATGCATGCACACCCATGCAGGCCCGTTGGTGCTCTCTTTTGCACGACACGCACCGCTGCCGTCCTGCCTGGCTGCATGGGCGGAGCACCGTAACTGTTTTGTTTTGTTTTTATTGCATTGAGTGGGCGACCTCTCTCTCTCCCTCTGTGTGTGTGTTTTGCTTTACGGGAGTAATGAGAGTGTGTGTGCGCTGGTCGTCCCACGCTTCGGCTTTTTGTTTTGTTTTCCTTTTTGATTTTGTGGTTGAGTGCACCCATTCCGCGGCTGCGTGTGTGTGTGTGCGATGATATGAGTAATTTGCGTGTGTGCTATCTGCCTCTCTCTGCCGTTGCTTTCTTCAGACTCTCTTGTGGCGCACAGCTGCTCCGCAAGTATAGGCGCTGCCAAACACACAAGCACATGCACACACGCCATGCCGTGTTTAAAAAGCTGTGAACTGGCGTGAATGCTGAGAACGCACGCACGTTACGGAGGGTCACGGAGGGCATTGTGGAGGTCGGTGTGTTGGTGCTTGTGGCTGTATTTGGCAACTCTCATATCTACCGTGTTGGAACGGCCGGTGTGTTCGTGGGCCGCTGAAGAGAGCAACGGCGAAAATGGTGACTCCCACGCAGTGCGTTCACAGTAGCATCTCGGTCAGTGGCAGCACGGGGAGAAACAGTCATGACAATTGCAATGCCGTTACGCTTTTTTTCGAGCACCGCAAGAAAGAGTAAAATATATTTGCACACACGACGCTTTGCACCCCGCTCCAGGGCTGGGCATCACGATGAGGCTGCCGTGCGGTGATGCCATATGATATGAGCTGCTGGGAGAGAAAGAGAGAGCGTTGTGCAAGTGGTGGCAGGTTGGTGGACTCTCACACAAATACTGCAACACCACGAGGATAGCAGACTAAACATTCCGCGTGCAGGGAGCGTTGCGGCCGATAAGGAATGTGTGCGACGGTGATGGACGCTCAGTCAACGACGGGTTGACGGTTTCTCCCATTGATGGAGTCGGTGCGCACGCGGTGTGTATTGCCGCCTCTGTGGTCTCCTGTTACTCCACTGTTTGTTCCGCATCCTGACGCATCCCTTGCACTAAATCGTTTTATTTCTTTTATTTCTCTTTTTCCTTTGCCTTCCGCCTCCCGCAGCCACGCTGCGCTGCTACTCACACGAAACTAAGAAATGCATTCACCTCAGGCCATGCGCCAGCCACGCCATGCCACGCCGCTACACCCATTTCTGGTGTTGCTGCTGATGTACTGCGCCACTGCGTGTATTGCCACTGCACCCGCTCTGCAGCACCGCCGTGGATATGACGAGACGATGGGGAGTAGCGGCCCGCTGCCGACCGCAGTGTTGCATGAGGTGCCACGCAAGGGACAGGGTGCCATGCAGGCGTACACCGTCGCCGCACAGGATGACGACAGTGGCTGGGAACCGATCCGCATCGGGGTGTTCACGGATGGACTGAAGAGCACGAGGGGGAAAAAGACGTACTGCGAAAATGATGGGGATGAGTGCGACAACATCTTGGGGGAGTGGATAACTTGTAAAGAAGAACATGTCTTGTCAGTTGAAAAGAAGAGATTGTACACTGGAAAGATTCTCCCCGGTGCTGTCAAACTGCACGCTGAGCGACTACTTGTGAGACCCCCTCCTGAGAAGATAACGGTTCCGAGGACTATGGGAAGTCCGTGCGACAGGTTTACGGTTCCAACTGAACACATAAAAAGTGGTGTGCCTAATTTTGATTTTATCATCTACGCTGCTGCTGGGCCATCAGGCACGAATGGCAGGGCTGTTTGGGCGGCAACTTGTAACACATGGGGAGATCTTCGCCCCTCCATTGGCGCCATGAACTTTGATCCGAAGTACATGACTGACACGGCGTGGAGCGTTCGCGTTGCCGCACACGAAATTGCGCATGCTCTTGGGTTCAGTAATGATAGTATTGAAAGAAGCAGCATCGAAACTTTTGAGAAAAGTGTGCGTGGGACACACCGCAAGATGGTGGCAGGGAATCACGTTCAGGAGAAGGCGAAAGCGCACTTTGGTTGTAAGACTCTCGAGGGCATGGAACTGGAGGACGAAGGTGGCACTCGGGAGAAAGCGATCCCTCACTGGAAGGGGCGCCACGCGCGGGACGAGCTGATGGCTCCCACAGTCGGTGCCGGCTACTACACGGCTCTGACGATGGCGGTTTTTGCGGATATGGGATACTACCGCGTGAATTGGAGCATGGCGGAGCCGATGAGCTGGGGCCACCGCAGTGGCTGCGACTTCCTGGAGAAGAAGTGCAAAGAAGCCAAGGATTTCCCCGCCAAGTATCCTCACATGTTCTGCGATGCTACCGACAAGGAGACGCTTCGCTGCACCTCCGACCGCCGTCACGTCGGGACGTGCACCGCAAGCATCGTTGAAAACGAGGGGAGCCCTGCGGATAAGGACGTTTGCCCTGTAGTTTCTTTGTACTTTCACGACACGTCTGGGATAAAGTACAATACGTGCTCGGAAAAAGGTGTAAATTATCTCCCTGGGTCGCTGACTGGCGGTGACTCGTGGTGCCTGGATGCGGAATTACTGTCGAAAAATGATGGCGGTAAACATAAAAACGTCAAGGGAGTGTGCGCGCAGGTGTCGTGTGAGGAGGGCACAGTGAAGGTGAAGCACCTCGGCAGCAGTGAATTGTGGCATGATTGCCCCGATGGCGGAGAAATCCCAGTGACGTTGAAAGATTTTGAGAAAGATGGAAAGATCAAGTGCCCGAAGTACGTTGAGGTGTGCACCATTGCCGGCAACGGCAGCAGTCTTGTCATTCCGAGTGTGTTGGAGGATGACAAAGGAGAAGAGCAAGAGGAGCAAGTAGAGGAGTCTGTGGCTGCTTCGGCGTTGCCTCCTGCACAAGAACCTCATGCAGAAGCGTCTTCCCCAGTCCAACCTCTTGCAGAAATGCCTTCTCCACGGGTGCAAGAGGCATTGCAGCAGCCTCGAGAGGAAATTAAAGCACAAGCGTCCACTGCAGAGGAACCTCATGCAGAGGAACCACGTGCAGCAGCGTCCACCGCAGAAGAATCTCATGCAGAAGCTTCCATTGCAGGCAAAGCTTCTGAAGCTCCAGTGGCTCAAGCGGCATCACGGCAGCCTCAACAAGAACGTGAAGCAGGGCAAAATAAAACGGTGGGGGAATCTGCCACTACACAGCACGTGCCGGCGAATACATCGCAGGGAAGTGTAGGGAAGGCGGCGGCTTCGAACTCCCATGCCGTTGGGGAAGCAACAGGTGATGGCGGCACCATGCGTGAGAGCGGACTGCTACCATCGCTGCTTCTGCTTCTGTTGGGACTGTGGTGGTTTGCGGCTCTGTGAGGAGTGACTGGCTGCCGCGTGGAGCACTTGCGACCTTCCGAGCACACAATTACTTCCAAGAACTAACTTATCCTTAGGATAATTTGCTTTTCTTGCTTTTGCTTTGTTGTGCGTTCTTAATTTTTTCTTTTACTTCTTTTTATTCCTAAATTATTTTGTGTTTTTTTCTTTTTCTTTTATCTCTCACTCCCGCATCCCTCTTTTTTTGCTTTTGGGGGCAATCACTATGGACGTTCTTTTTTCTACTCTACTCTTTACAATTGTTTGTTTCTGCTGCGCTCTTCCTGCGAGGGGTGCCGTGTGTTTCCCGCCCAACCGCTCCACTCGCACACCCACCGACACGCTCACGACGACGGCCCTGTGCGCCTCGCCTGCTGCACGCATGAGGCGGGGCCGCGACGAACGGCGCGCTGAGGGAGCCGTGACGTGTGGGCGTGCGACGAGGGCCTGTGGGGCGGAGCACACATTTCTTCCCTCTTGTTTTGTTTTCTTTGCGGCCAGGGCGGGCAGACACCCGCAGCGCCACACACACAGCCACACCCTGCCGCCGTGTTTTTTTTTGTTTTCTTTTTATTCGATGGGTGTGTGCTGCCACCGTGCGTGATTGTTGAGGTTGGGGCCGTGCCGCATGTATCGCTGTCGTCCAGCTGTTCCTATTGCTCTGTTGATGTGCCTCCCTGTGCTCCTCCTCATTTTTCCCCGTTTCTCCAGCACACAGAAAATAAGTATTTGCACAGTGGTCTGCAGTGAGGTCTTGGCGACAGCGGGACGTGGGCTTGCGTCCCGTGCTGTAATGATGACGCGGCTGCACGATGCCCGCCATGTGTGACGTTGCCTGCTCTTGGGGTCATTCCTCTCTGCCCCCTGTTTTTGTTTTGCCGTGTGCGTGCGTTGCTCGGTGTGTGCTGACGCGTGACGGACGGTGCCACGTTGGATTCCTCTGAAGATGACAGTCGCTGTGCTCTCGGCACACATCCACACACTCTTCCTTTTCTCTCTGTGGGAGTGATTGCGGCAGGGCATTGCTGCGAGCGTGATGGGGACCACGACGGCGTCACCCCTCGAGAAGTTTCCGCGCACTGTCGGTTGTGGAGCGGCGAGGCGGTTTGCCTGCAGCCCGACTGACAGAACCGCACAGTCGTTTCATTGCGGTCACTCCGTCGGCATCACCCGCTGCGGTGGTGTCCGCAAGAGCCGCAGCCCCGATGGGGATGGCCTCGTAGTTGTCTGGTGGCTCAGAACTTCAGGCCCTTCGCCCTTCAGAATTGCCCTGCTGCTCGACTGGCGCAGCACCATTCATCGCTCAGGCCCCGCAGCGGTTATTTGCGACCTGAATTCACGCCATGAGCTGCGGGACGGTCGCTCAGCATCAACGACGGCAGGAGATGATCTCGCCGCCACCCCAATCGACATGGAATCTAAACTGTCCGACGACCCGGCACAGGCAACGCGGATCAGCGGCCGCAGCGTATCGTTCCCGACGTGACTGCACAACGTTTACTGTGTGTCTCCCACTAAACGTCCACCCGTTTACATGGACTCGGACCACCATCTGCCATCCCACACTGCAGGGACGGAGGACGGCATCCCGCGACAGGCAGGCATGCTGCCACGACGGAAGCATGTCGCCATTTCCCTGCGTGAAGCTGACTGTGATGCTTCCACCACGGCGTGTGCAACGCCTCTGGCCACTGTGATCACATGGTTGGAGATGCACCGAGGCACCGTACAAGCGGCAGCCGTGACATTCCCACAGGAATCTGTACGGACGGAATGGAGCAGGCCGAGTGTGTTGCAGCGGCAGCCTGCCCCGAGCTGAAGTGCACCGCAAACGGGAGGACCGCAATCATACCCTCCGTGGTGGCTTCTCCATGCTGCTAGAGGTCCGTGCGAAACAGCTTGGTGCCCTCCCGATCCCAAGGCCTGTGATGCCCCGAGGCATGGCGGCGCCACGTCCCTGCCCTCTGGGATCGGCTGTGCTGCGGTGCTGTTGGGACCGCGTCTGTGCCCTGCCTCCGCCGTGACCTCTTCCCGACGTGAGCACCGCCACTCCTTGCCGAGCAGCAAGCGGCTGATTGACGTCCTCCTGTCCACTCCTCGGCTGACCGGCACGTGCCACACAGATTGCAAGTGACTTTTTATGTCGGTGGTGCCATCCCTCCCACACTGAGGAGACGGATCCACCCCGACCTCCTCCGGAACCTCCACCTGGCGTGTCGACGGCAGTTCCTCGTAGAAAGACGACCAGCAGATCAACGCCGCCCTGCCCAAGCTGCAGCAGCGTCTTCTCGTCCGTCCACAATATGAAGGTACACGCCCGACGTGTCCACCATGGCACTCCAATCGTTGCAGAAGACCTCACATGTGGATTCTGCGACAGCTCCACGGTCTCCCCAACAGGTGCCTTACGCGCAGGTCATTACCAAAAATGCCAGGCGTGTTAACGAGCAAAAGACGGACAGCGCAACTCCGCAAGCTCCAATTGCAACCATGGCCCTTCAGCCACTCCGCTACGGCAACCCCACCAGTCGCTGAGCCGCCTGACGGTACACGGGAACGCCTGCCGCACAGGTTGTGGCAATGCCCCCGTCCTCGACAACTGAACATCCGACTATTGGGAACATCACCTCTCGCACGACAGCACCGTTTAAGAAGAAAAACTGGCCACATCGTTACGGGCAGCCCGCAGGCAATTAACGAACAGCGGCAGCAAATTATAACAAATAATTCCCTTTTCTCAGCATAGAAAAAACATCATCTTTACAGTCGCAATTGCCACCAATGAATTCATTGCGCAATACCGCTCTGAGCTGCAATACTTCCTGGTGTCATCCAGCTCCCTTGTCGGCACATTGATGCGAGTGGGCGCCCATCCATTCATCCCAATGACGGTACATGTCTGCGACGTCCCCTCTGCTCCAAAAGGCACGTCCCTCACCACAGCCGGGATCGACTTCGCCCTGTCCACACACATCGCCTTGTCAGAGGAGCAGGAGTACGTCAGGCTGGCAGCAAAGCACCCGCCAGCACAACACATCACAACCAGAAGCACCAGCAGCACTGCAGACTGTGGGGCGACGTGAACCAACTGACGCATGCTGTACGTAAAAGAAAATACTTCATGGCTTGACAAGAGTAAGAAACACCGACAATATCTCAAAAAGAAAAGAAAAAATACAAAAAGAGAATTTAGGCGTACGCGGTCAAAGCAAACTGCCAATCAAAAAAAAAAGCAATGGGTGCACTCAACCAAAACACAAGTAAAACAATAAAAGAAGAACACAAAAAGCCGAAGCGTGGGAAGACCAGCGCGCACACACTCTCATTACTCCCGTAAAGCAAAACACACACACAGAGGGAGAGAGAGAGAGGTCGCCCACTCAATGCAATAAAAACAAAACAGAAACAGTTACGGTGCTCCGCCCATACAGCCAGGCAGGACGGCAGCGGTGCGTGTCGTGCAAAAGAGAGCACCAACGGGCCTGCATGGGTGTGCATGCATATATACAATGGGCACATTATGTGTGTGCCTCGTGGGGTGAGGTGAGGGCGAGAGTCCATGCAAGGGGAAACACACAGAGAGAAGGAAGAGTGTGTGTGCGGGCGGTGCACGGCTCTCTCTCCCTCACTCTCACGCGGCCACCACCGCAGCCGCAGCCGCACACGCAACAACAAGAAGAAGAAGCAAAAGAGGGGAGGTGGTGTGGGGGACCGCGGTGCTGCCGTCACTGTCGCCTGTACGTGCTGTGTCATTTGTTATAGCTGTGGCTTTGACTGGTGTTTCCTTCCTGGTGCTATGTTTATTGTCACCTCTTTTTGCACCTTCTGTTACTGCATTGTTAGCTGTAGGGTTATTCTTCGGCAATCCTATTTCAGTGCCCCTTTCTGCGTCCATATTAGAGGCATCACCAACGGCTAGGGGCCGTGTTTGTGTTGATTCAGAATCACCGTCAGATTCTCCATTCCGTTCTTTTAGTGTGACGGAAACATTTTCCTTTTTTTGTGAATCATTGTTTGGCTCCACGCCGTCATTGACTCCTTGAGACGTTTGCTCTGGCACGTCATCTTCACTGCTCAGCTTTTCTTTTTCTGGTTCTGCTCTGGGGTTTTCCACTGGTTTTTCATTTGTTTTCATTGTCGCTGCTGGTGCACCTTGCAGTGAAGCTGGTATCGCTGCTCCATTTCCCTGTGTTGATGCTGGCGGCAATAAAGATCCTGGCGGTGATGATTCGCCAGTTCCTGGTCGTTCCCCTTCTGATGGCGTTGTTGCTGATGAGTGACCTCCCACTTTCGCCGAACCATTGCCTGCCTGTCTTGCTTGTCCTTCGCCACCTTGTCCATCCAGCGGCGCTTCCCGTTCTTCAAGTAATTCTCCACTTTCTTCTCCTGCACTTCCCCTTATTTGTTCTTTCTCTGCTTCTCCTTTGTCGTCCATTGATTTGTCGGTCGTAGGTGTCTCTATTTTCGGATCCTTCCTCTGATTACCAACCGCTTCTTTTTTTGAATCCAACGGTTCCCCTACTTTTTGGAGCCCTTGACTGACTTGGTCTGAAGATTCCTGTTTTCCGTTATTTCTGCCTGCGGGTTCAGACGGTGGCCCCTTTGCTGAACCCTGGCTTACATCGGTATTTTCAGAATCATCGGCCATTGACACTCCCACCGCACATACACCGCACCACAGCACGCAGAGGGCACACACCAGCAGCACACGGCCAGTCATCATCATCGCCATCACCCCCGTCACTTGCGTGCAGCCCTCAGCACAAACTAACAACACGTCAACAGAGAGTGAAAGCAAAAGGAGAGACAGAAGAGAGACAATTCACGCAACAAATGGCACGATTCCAGCACCGGCAACAGCCCAGCAGCAGCGCACACACCATGAGACAGCTGTAATCAGTGAAAGGGCAAAAACGTACACTGCCCCGCAGCAATTAAACAGCAATAAAACACTAAACAAGTAAAAACAAAGCAAAAGGAAACAAGAGTAATAAAGTTAG